ACTGGCAGACAGAAGGACAAGGACAACAAGAGCAACAGGACAGCTGCAGGGAGGAGCTGAACGGGAAAAGGAGGACATGGGAATAAGTGTAAGAGAGGAGGGGATGAGAGGACAGGCAGGGAGAGGTAGGAGGAGACAAACAAAAAGAGAGTGATCTGAGGGGAGTTCATCTAAAATAAATTTAGTAACAATTGTACCATCTGATGTTTCCTTTCTGGCCATGCTGAGAACCAAACATCAGTTAATGACCCTTTGTATATAAATTACTCAAACTGTGTTATGTTGAAATCGTGAAGAAAGCTTGATTTTTTTTCCTCTTTCAAACTCACACAATTCATAGAGTACAATCAAAGTCTCATTAATCCAGTCCTATGCTCAGCACTTCCCAAACAGACAGCTCTTTCTGACATGGAACTGAGCTGAGAGTGAAACTCCATTTATAATCTCTCCAAAGCCAGACTCCATTGACAAAAACAGAGATTTTAACCCCCTGAGCGCAGAAGCTACTGGTCTACTGCTGCCTAGCTCAGTTAGTTGGTTTGTGTTATTGTGTGACTTTGTTATTTTAAAGGGTTAATGTGGATTCACCAAAGTCACACAATAATACAAACAAACTAACTGTTTGAGGCAGCAGTAGACTACCAGCTCCTGTGTTCAGCGAGGTAAAATTACTATTTCTGTAAATGGAGTCTGGCTTTGGAGAGAGCATTGGTACGTTTTACTTCCCGTTGTAAAGAGCTGTCTGTTTGGGAAGTACTGAGCATACGACTGGATAAATGAAAACTTTATCAAAACATATGTTTCATCAAGAAATTTCTCTAATTGTGGATTCTTCATTCACCATAGATGCAAGTGAGAAAAACAAAGTTCTCATCACTAATTCAGTGTAACACGGGGTGATACACAAATGGTTGTTTGGAAGGTGAAGTATTCCTTTAGGTATGCCACAATGGCACAAAACTCAAAAAGGAAGTCCTGAGTGAAGGGCAGGGATGTCCTTTCACTTCTCCTCCCTCAAGCACAACTGACATGCCCTTGAACACAACACTTAAGGTTTGATCAATTCATTGTAAATCACACAGGGCAGAAAAAAAGTACCAGCAGCAGTGACGAACACAGTCAAACCTAAGTGTAATTTACAAGTCAGTAAGTTATTTTTGTGCCATTTGTATGTGCAGGCAGCCAGCAGGAAGGAATCTAATGTGCATGCTCAATTGGCCCAAATGGTGGAAGCCTGGGGGGGCTTGAAAAACTTTGCCAGCATGTACACCCAGTTAACAACTGACATTGGGAACTAATGGGAGTATCCAGTTTTCTTTATACATCCATGGCTTGCCCCTTCATGCAGACATTTGCAGCTAAAATGCAGTGTAAATGGCTTTTACTTGTGGCCTGTGATGTGTTTCAACTGTAAGTGCCCCCATATTAGAGTTAGAGTTAAATAGCGGGCAGTTCAGCAGCAGTTTTCTGCCTGATATGATGATTAGCCCTTTAACCCTCAGCTGTGAGGGTAGCACTCCTCAGCGGGCACCAGTACAGACTGTGGCTGTACTTGCTGACCATAATAGTGTCAATTCAAAAATCTGAATCAGGTTGTCAGGGGTGCAATCAGTCAGTCATTTTGAAGTCCACAGAAACTGATTTCTTACCCTTGTTTCCATGTGCTGTAAGTGAATGAAATCTATTTCACATTAAAGTTTCGGTTTCCCTAAACCATCATATTTCTGTTACTTTCATATTAACAAATAAGAAGGTCTTAGTGATGTTTCTGCCTCAGAGAGTAACCACTGCATACAGACCATCATTAACATCCTTGAATATCCCTCTTACTCTTCCAAGCTAATTATGAAATGACAACTCCAGCACATGCAATATGTACTGATAAGTAAAACTATCTTACAATATGATACAAAGATTTTTTATGTACGAGGATTAATCTGTCAAACTGTATGGAATCTGGGAAATTGGGATTAACAGCTAAAAAAGTCTTTTTGTACTTGCAGGCAGAAGCAAATATAACACACTGTGCTCTGAGCTCTGTCCAGGAACAAGGCCTTGGTTTCTTGCAGTTTTAAGTGGAACTACTGACTCCCACTGAAAAAATGTTACTATAAATGCGATGAGCTCTGTGGATTATGCAGTGTGACGAGGGCAGTTTTCTCAAAAGGGATGTTGCTGTAGAAATTTTGAAAAGTAGCTTTTCAATGTTTTAAGCATAAAAACCATGGCACATCAAACCAGAACTATCCGCATAGCCACATACCCTTGTCTACACCAAACAGCTGCATTCTTCAGACATCTGTCGAACAGAACAGATGCTTTGGTTTTGATCAATACAGTCTGCCCTGATGACGCTGGTAGCTACAACCTGAAGCATCTTTTATCTTACATGGAAAGCAGTGACAGCGAGTCAACGTCTGCCCTGAGGGGTCTCCATTTCCTATGATGACCAAGAGGCACATTGCTATACTTCTTGGTCCTATTAAAACAATTTTCTTGTTTAAAGGGCTGGCTTATGTTATTGTTAATGCAGCAGACTTCTGATGGATATATTTGAATGGTGGAGAGGATTTAGATTTGCCTTTAACACTTAAAGGGGAACTTTTTCAACCAGGACCCTATTTTCCCATGTTTTTTGTGTCTAAAAATTGTCTTGAAATTGCTCCAGTACTAAGAGAGAGTGCTGCAGCCAGCAGTGGTGAAACAAGCTACAATGTACCCACACGGGGTCAGACTTCCAGGAATGCCACCCAGCCTTGCAGCCAGCTCTTCACAGTGGCCATTCACGGTATTACAGCCAAAAAAGCATTTTCCCCATAGACCACTATTGTGAAAGAGACATCTATAAAACTGCAAACAAGGTCAGTTATTACTTTTTCTTTTAAGATATCTTTTGGGGCATTCCTAGCCTTTAACTGACAGGACAGATAAGCGTGAAGGGGGGAGAGAGAGAGGGAGTGACACGCAGCAAAGGGCCACAGGCTGGAGTCGAACCCGGGCCGCTGCGGCAACAGCCTTGTACATGGAGCACCTGCTCCACCACTAAGCCACCGACGCCCCAGTTATTACTCTTTCTATTATGAATTTTTCATATTTGTAAAACTGTCCTTGAGTCAAAAAAATCTGTGACGTTTACATAAGGTAAAGTTTATTAGCTGCACAGGAACTCATGGCCAGGGCAGTGGGAGGACCCTACGAAGACATGAAAAGTTTTTTCTTACTTTTTGCTTGTTCTGGTCTCTTTTGTGTCTTGTAATGAGAGGTCGTGTTCTGAAATCTCACAACAGTTGTCTTATTGCAGGAAGAAAACGTTGGAAATGCAAGTGAGAGTTGGAGAGAGGAGTGTCGGTAATAGTTTGTTGTGTTGGAATACAGAATGTAGCTTTGCATGATCTAAAAGATTTTCAGTGTCATGACGTGATTTTAGCTGATTTCGACAATGTGAAAATGTGAGAGAGATTTCAAAACAGGACTCCTGCTTGAGTGAGACTTGGACATAAAACCAAGCTGAACAAGTGTAAAGGTATGGAAAAACATTTCATACCTCCGTAGGGTCATTTCCATAATTTGTAAGACACTCATGACATTAACCTGAGCCTGTCAGTGGCAAAAACAAGCATTTTTAGTGGACATAAATTGAAGGGTGAGTGGTTACATTGCAGCCTGTTTTGCCTCTCACTCAACACTGGATCCACTTCAAAAATTGTTGTTGGCATGACTCACTTAGACTTAGAAAAATACCAGAGTTCCCCTTTAAGGTATGTCAGACAGAATGCAAGGTGAGGGTGCAAGGTGATGCAATTGCATATGAAGTCAATGGATGATTCTGTTCTTATATGTCTTGATAGTTGGGCGTTTCCCAGATTGGAGTGAACGTGATGCTGCCTTATATGTACAGTACTGGGGTGTGCAGTACAAGGCAATGTCACTGGTTTTTCTACCGAATTTCTGTGGTCTTGAGGGAAGAACTATGTGATTCTCTCTGGGAAAGTCAAAGAGCTACTGACGCAATGGCCACTCGACAGTGTAATAAAATGACTACACATATCATTTACCAGCAAAATAAATTTTAGTGTTGAAAAGAATCGGTCAGAATTTTAGAAAATACACTTATTTGCTTTCTGGCCAAGAGTTAGATGAGAAGATTGACATTACTCTAACATCTGTGTGCTAAATATGAAGTTAGAACCAGGAGTTCATCAGCTTAGCTTAGTGTAAAGACTTGAAATAGGTGGAAACAGCCACTCTGGCACAGCAGGTCTAACACTTTGTGCCAAGCTAAGCTAACCAGCTGCTGGCTATAGATTTATATTTACAGCACAGACAAGAGAGTGGTATCAATCATTCAATCTAACTCTAAATGAAAAAGCAAATAAGCATATTTCATATTTAGATTCTCACATCGAGCCAAGCATCTGAGAACCAGCTGAGACAGTGATGCAGGAAGAAAGACAAAGGGTGAGTAGATGATGAAAAGCTACAGGTGATGGAGGAAGAGAGAAGCTTGCATCTCTGCTGAGCGTGTGTCTCTTTAAGAGCTGGAGTGTGCTATTGAGCAGGAGGAGGGGGGTTGTTTGGCTGCATTGGAACAGTCCTCTTTAATGAGCAGATTTTCTGAGAGAGAGAGAGAGACATACACACACACACACACACACACACACACAGATCAGGAGAGAGAGAGAGGGGATACAGAGAGCCAGCTGAGGAGGAGAAGAGACTGTAAGACCAAGACAGCAGGCAGGAAAGGCAGGCTGTGCGTCAGCCGGTGCTCCATAGGGAAACATGGAGACAAGCAGGAGATGCTGAAGAGGACAGAGCACACCATAACAGGATCATATAGATGGATGTTATTTCATCAAGCAGGCAACCTGAAGGCGACCCACGCACAGGATAAACCACTTATGGACGCAGTGGATTAAAGACCTACAGACTGACAGAGAGAGAGAGAGGGAGAGGGGGAATAGAGGAGGAGAAATTAATCAATTCAGTTGTTTATTTTCATTGTCTGTGTGTGCGCACTTGCTGTCAGAAAGATTGTGTGTGTGCCTGCGTAGAGTGTGTGCGTGCAAAAGACAGGAGACTGCATTGCTGCTCCCCAGCACCACAGGACAGACAAAAAAAAGAAGGCAGCCAAGCAGATTACCTTATGTGTTTTCCCCATTTTTCTGTCTCTCCCTCTCTCTATGCATGTGTGTGTTCCTTTGCTGTGCAACCAGGCACAGTATGTGTGTGTGTGTGTGTGTCAAGGCTGAGAATAAGAAGAGGATGGTGAAGCCTGAAGTGAGCTACAGATTCTGACTTTAAATGGGCTTTTTTTTTGTCTGAACATCGGGACCAGCCTTGAAGAAAAAAACTATTCCTCTCTTTATCTTTCGCTCTTCATCAGCCAACATGTCACAGCTCCAGTTAGGCTACTGGTGCTGATCAGAGAGCCTGAGGGTGGCTTCTATGCTGGAGGCTCGGGGGTTTGAAGGGCTGCCACCAGGGAGACTTCTCTGCTTTACACCCCAGAGAGGTGGAGGCATCATCAGGTAGGAGGCAGCTGAACGTGGGGGTCTGAGCGGAAAGCAGGAGAGGAGTAGGAGGAAGAGTTGTCGTGTGTGTCGTAGACTGTGTAGGCAGGCCGATGGCCAACTGGTGGAGCTGCCTGATGGTTTAAACTCCTGCTGAGGGGAGATAATGGCAGCTCCGGGCCCACTCTCCTCCTCTCTCACCTGCATCTGCCACAGAGAAGCTGGCAAGTGCTAGCCAATGCTACAGTGACCCCACCAAGAGGATGGTGTGAACAGCGTCACCTTTTCCCACCACGCCGGGAGACCCCTGACACCCCTGTGAGGGGCCAAGTTTTGTTGCTCACCTTGTTTCGCCTTCTTCTCCAAACCAGCTGAAAACAAGGAGTGGCATTGCTTTACTTGTGTGGGAGTTCTCTCCCTCTCCCTCCCGCTCTCTCCTCCTCCTCACCCCTGACCTCACCAACCTCCAAACTCAGCTCCATGAATTGGTTCTAGCACCAACCTGTCCTTCTTTCTTCTCCCTTCGTTTTCTTTTTCTTTTCTTTTTCTTTTTGTCGAGGCTTCAGGGGAATTGCCAAGACCTGTTTCATGCATGTCCACTGGCGGCAGGTTCAACTTTGACGATGGGGGGTCATACTGCGGAGGGTGGGAGGAGGGCAAGGCACACGGCCATGGGATCTGCACGGGACCCAAGGGCCAGGGCGAGTACTGTGGTTCCTGGGCCCACGGCTTCGAGCTGCTGGGCGTCTAAACGTGGCCCAGTGGGAACACCTACCAGGGCACCTGGGCTCAGGGCAAGAGACACGGCGTGGGCCTGGAGAATAAAGGCCGCTGGGTGTACAAGGGCGAATGGACGCACGGCTTTAAGGGACGCTACGGTGTGCGGGAGAGTACAGGGACGAGCGGGAAATATGAGGGGACTTGGAACAACGGGCTGCAGGACGGATACGGAACAGAGACGTACTCAGATGGAGGTAAGAAGGGGACGAGAGACACAGATGCATTGTGGGTGTTTTGGGGGTGGGTTTGAGTGTGTGTTTGTGTGATGTGTGAACCAAACAGTGCCTGTCAAGGAGTGATATTTGAGATTGACTGACATCTGCCGTTTGTGAAAATGACTTGTTACCGGAGAATGATTGACAGGCCCATGACAGTTACAGAGGTGACAGATTTACAATAGGAGGAGTTTGTCCAGAGGTCTTCTCGGGTCATCCTCTCTCCTGCCGTGTCTTGACGACACACCCAGACACACACACACACACACACACGCAGACGTGCAGAGGCAGGGGGTTGCATCAGGACAGGCTCTGAAAATGATTCTCAATCTCTACTCTAATTTTCTACCTCTCACTCTTTCTTTCTCTGTCTTTTCCCCCTCATCTTCTCTCCTCCCAACCCTCACCCCTCACCCCTTCAGCTGCACGAGGACACTGTGTGTTTTAAGGCCTTCAATTCAGGCCATGCAGTCTTAAGGGATGAAGAAAAGGTTGGAGGGACAGAGGAGGACAGCAGCTTCCAAGTACCAACTCCCAAGAAGGGTTTTAGAAAACAGATAACAATGTTGTAATGATCTAATAGAGAGGGCAGAGACAGCAAATCCACGTCTTCACCCTCGATTTCCCCACCATGCCAGCCTAATTACTCATGGAGGCTGTAAAATATCTTATCACATACAGCACAGAACAAAAGATTCACACTTCAGTGGCAATGTAGGAGGCTAATTTTCAAATATTCTTTCACTCCAAATGAGATGTAATTAGTCGTGGTTTTAGTTATTCTTTGTCGAGACAAAACAAGATGAAGAGTCTATACCAGTGGTGGCTTGAAAAATTGAATTGCAGTGCTACTGTGACACTTGAAATATCCCTGAATCTGACAGTTTTGCCAAAACAAGCAATGTAAATAAGCATGTAACATATCTGTGACCCTGTTAATCATTTTCATATGACTGCAATAAAAAAAGCTAAAACAGAAATGTACAACTATTTACATTTAGATCTTAAATTTGTAGAATATCTTTGGGATCATCTCATTTTCCCTGAAATTGAAAGCAATGCCATTAATGTTCTTTGAGTCTCTTAGACCGGGTCAGTCACTGTTAATGAGGCACCACACACCATATGGATTCCTGCTTAAAAATAGACACACACACACACACACACACACACACACGCACACACAGGAGCATACACATTGTGCGTGCAAAAATGCACACACATGAAATCTGACAGTGTGAGCTGAGCAACAGAGCTGACAGTAGCATACATGCAGTTAATGCTTTGTTACATAAGTCTACAACTACCAGGCTGTTTTACAACGCCAGCCTGGACCACACACACACAAACACACACACACACACACATACACACACACAGAGTCCTGAGCAGCCTGATAAAATCCGTAGACCAGACTGGTTCGAGGGGTTGCATCAGGACAATGGAGAAGAAGGCGACTTAACAGATAACCAGACAGATGGGACGGACGGACGGACGGACGGATGGAGGGAGGGATAGATGGATCGACAGATGTACAGATTGATGGATGAATGGATCAGTTAAATGATGAACAGATAATGGAAACATGGTTGGTGAAGTGGATGGATGATTTTCATGATTACTGTGAGAGATATACTCTAATCAGAGGAAGAGTGAGATCATTAGAGAAAGAAAGGGAAAGAAAAAAATGGACAGCAAAGATAAGAGAACCTCCCAGAGAGGGACGTGTTGGAGAGACACTGTAGCTCTGTGAAGTATTTGAACCCACATACTGTAAATGCAGCAGAGATTGGCCTAGTTATAAGTGTTTATCTTGCTCCAACAGTACACAGTGTCCTTATTATAACAGCATGTGCTTGTCCTTTATATAAATCTATTAGGTAAAATAAAATGTTTTTGACAAAGAGGGTGATTGAACAGAGAGATGATATTGCCAGGATAATTGTTACCTTGCCATGGCTGACTTATTTAATTAACGTCTCTTTTTATGGATTTTAACATGGCCCATCCCTCCATCTGGGGTTATCTTTTCATTGTATCATTATACTGAACAAAACATTTAGTGCGACACTTATGCCATCAAAGCTTTACTTCCATTTTTCACAGGTTTAAGTTAAAGATCTATGACTTTTTAATGCACTCAGCATATATTTTTGTTGAATTTGGGTCACAAATTTGTCAAAATGCACTTCTCCTTTTCCAAGATATTCAACCACCTGACAGGTGTGGCTGATTGAACAGCGTTGTTACTACTGAGTTGTGCCTTGGGATGGTCACAATAAAAGGCCGCTCTAAAATGTGCAGTTGGATCACACAACACAATGACACAGACGTCACAAGTTTTGAGGGAGTGTACCATTGGCACGCTGACTGCAGGAATGTCCATCAGAGCTGTTGCTTGTGAATGAAATATTCATTTCGTGACCAAAAGCAATCTCCTGTGCCGTTTCTGTGAATTTGGCAGTACATCCAACCGGTTGCGTTTAAATTTTTGTTCAGTGCTTTATTCTGTGCAGAAGTCCTCCTCTAGATCTGCAGAGACCGGCTTGTGGTTTTGGTATGGAAGGAGACACTACACAAACAAGATGGACAAAGATTATTCATGTCAAGGGGCTACAAAAACTCTACTGCTGTAATAAAGTAAAAAGATTTACATTTCAGATTCCACAGATTGGACCTTTTGTCCTGTAGCTTGGTGTTAGCTTGATTCAAAGGATGCAATCTGACAGGGGCACTGCCCTGACTTTTTGTCACCTCATTAAGTTATTACAGTGAAGGTCAGAGGTCTTTAAGTGGTCTTCTGATGGCCAAATGCAGGTTACTCTTAGATTAAAGCTGACAGTCCATCTTTGCAACCTCAGGGCTCTGCTATGTCCAAAGCAATAAGAGTCAGGAGCCAAGACGTTCAAAGATGCTCTGCTGCCTACATACTTTTGGAACACGCTGTGCACTTTAGAGCCAGCTACATTTCCCACAGTCAGGTCTAAGCTCACTGCCAGTCCCACTCTCCCCTCCAACTACACCTGACGCCACATTTCTAGGAAACACTCCTCCTCTATCTTATCTCTGCTGTTTGGCTTTTCGTTCCTCTCCTACGTTTGCCAACTCTCCTCTCTTCCCACCTCTCTCTATCCTCCCTCGCTCCGCTGCATTTCCACGGAGCCGCTCTGTACAGTAGGGTTTCCATAGCAACGCTCACCGACATGCAGCAGGTCAGCGTGTCACGAGGGACTGAGTGTTGCTCGCTGCTATTGGCCGCCCAGCCGGCTCTACCGGGCTCTGATTGGCTGGCTTGGCCTTCCGGGCTAATGGTGTTTACTGAGATGAAGAGCTAAGCTGACTGATTACCAACCACACATACACACACACACACACACACACGCACACACACAAAGAAAGAGAGGGAGAGAGTGAAGTAGAAAAATGAAAAGACAGCTTCAGTAATCATTTTAGTGAGAAATGAAGTGAGTCACAAAGGAAGAGGCAGAGATTACAACTGTCACTGTGTACAACAGTGGTAACAGCTAGAGATTACAGCAGCAGTGGTTGTTGTGTCTGACTAGCTGATACACCACACACAGTGTCACAGGAACTCTCTAAACTACCCCCTGCTCCATGAAGACTTCACCACACACCGACAAGAAAATAGAAAGTGTGACAGCGTTTATATCAACGCAGATGCATCATTAAACGATGCTTGTGACAGCTCAGCAGCATCCTGGAGCCTCCCCCCGTCCCCCAGCTGCTGGCAAATACGCTGCTGCAACATTATAATTGTCCCACATTAACATATCTTGCTAGCTTGCTATAGGCCACCATCAGTGCTGTGATTATTCCAGCTCTGCCCATGTTATGGAAACATAATAAATTCACTTCTCATGTTGAACATCGCCCAGTAACTACATAAATTATTACCTACACTGAGATATGACAGGTGGGCCAAATAAGGTTAAAACCTGCTTCACTGTTGTCATGCAGTGGTTAGATGTGATGTTTGGAAGCGTGATGACAGGTGCATATAAAAGACTGTATTTGAGAGAATTATATTTGCAGCCTATTTGAGCGTGTGGGAAGAAGCTCTTCAGCTAACAGCGCCACTCTGTTTTCTATCATCCTGTAACTATCAAGTGTTTCTCTGGACCACTTAGCCATGCGTGCAGATGGATTATGTTCAGATTAGAAGTATTGAGGACCATTTTTAAGTTGGTATCCTCTTATCCTCTTACCTTTGGGGCTCTTGGGCTGGTGACCAACCTGCTCCTCTTTCATCGCTGCATCTTCTACAGGTTTATTATCAGCCATAGCATTATTTTTAGACATGTTTTTTTAGCATGATGATACTTTTAATTTAAGGCTGTCATGGTGACCCTCTATGTCTCCATAAAGTACGACTGACTTGGTATTAGGACTATCACAATATCAGATTTTCACTACATGATTGTTGGGGCAAAAAAGTTCACGATAATGCTATAATCACGATATCTATAGAAAGAAAGAAAGAAAGAAAGAAAAAAACAAAAATGATTTAAGAGGCATTGGATTATGTACACATATTATCATATGTGTATTATTAACATGACATTACCATGATCAACGTTCTATTTTTATTTATTTTTATTTTTTTTAAAAATATGTTTTGGGCATTTTTAAGCCTTTAATTGATAGGACAGAAGAGCGTGAAGGGGGGAGAGAGAGAGGGAGTGACATGCAGCAAAGGGCCACAGGCTGGAGTCGAACCCGGGCCACTACGGCAACAGCCTTGTACATGGGGCGCCTGCTCTACCACTAAGCCACCGACACCCCCAACATTCTATTTTAAATATTAAGGTTATTGTCAATACTGCTATTTCCTGAGACCCCTACTGGTATTGGTGTAAAGTACCTAATCCTTGTTTGCAAGGGTAGTTTTAGCTTATAGCTTATACAGCAGCATCTGTACCGCTCACTTGTCAATGAAACTGCATTTGACACATAAAAAA